GCGGATATATACGACGAGCTGCGGGGCAGGTGCGAGGGGATTGCGGCGGCGGCGGGGGAGGTGGCGGCAATGGATTAATTTAGTAGTCGTTGTCATTGTGACAGGCCGCGGCGATAGAGGTACCCGGGGCACCGCTAATCAACGGTGATTAATAACGCGATCCCGCGGACAAGATGTGTGGGGGGGAGGTAGGTGACCGAGGAGGTGTATAGGAGTTTTGAATAAAAAGAGTGTGCTGCACACGCATACCGAAATAGAGCGAGAGCGAGTGGGGGTTGGTTGTGGGGGGGGGAAGCTGACAGTAAAAAAAAAGTGTATATGAACTAATAAATAGACCGGCACCGGTGGCAGTTCAATGGTAAACCGATGAGGCATTTTTTTTTCCCCGTTTCTCTCTCGTATCTCTCTCACACGCCCGCACACCATATACTCTCTCCCCCCGCGCGTCTGTCTATATTATATATACTCTTCGTCTGCTGATGGTGGTAAGTCAGGTAATTGATGAAGGGCCCGAATCATCAATTCATGTCAACCGGAATCCGAGAGCGCAGACAAGGTTTACCCCTGCGCGCGTGGGGAAGTATATATAATATTATAGTCTCTCCGTATATATCTATATACACCCTGCGCCGCCGCCGCCGCCACCACTTTCGGGGCCCCCGAGACACCTTATGGTAAATCGTTTTGTATAATTGTTGTTCGCGGCGACATTGCTCGTGGAGGCGGCTCGGTAGTTACGGGGCCGATGAAAAATGACAAGACGTGCAGGTCTATATACACCTATAATATACTTGCTCGGTGGCAAGTGTAAAAACCTCCCCCGCCGCATTTGCGTGTCGTCGACTTCAAGGCGAGGGTGAAAAAAAAAATTCTTGCCTCGAGTTTACGGCGAGATCCTGCACGAGGATGCGGAAGTATATGTTAAGTATGGCATGTATAATATAATAATAATAGTATACGTATCACATTGCGCACGATAGATTGTTCGCCTCGGAGGGGGGGGGTCGATGTTATAATAAAGGTTTATACCGCGTATACCTAGTATAGTATATACTTGTGTTGTACACGTGAACGAAAAACACGCGTACTCACAGCTTGCGGTCCGTATTAGGTTAACGAGATATTTTTCTCACCATAGCGTTTTAATTGGTTAAAAATGTTTAATGGTTTTTGTGAATTTCCGCACGTGCGTTTTTCAGGAAATATCCAGCTATATATATAGGGTGTTTCAAAAGTCTCTTCATCCGATTACGAACTGATATAGTTCAGCGACGGTTAATCGCAGGTTAGCGACCCTTGTATTAATGGTTGACTGATTAATAAAACTTGACTATTTTAAAAATATATTTCACTTTATTCCAGCCTTATATCATCATTTTTTAAATAAATATATATTTTTTAAATCGCATGAAGACTTTTGATACACCATGTACCTATATTATATTTCTTAAGACCCCTATTGTTGGAGAAAAGTCAAAACGTCGACTAGCTTTGTGCAAAATTATCAAATCAAATTATCGTTTTCTGTATTAATATAACACGTCGTCATGCTTGATATGAAAAATGAATTGTTCTTATCCGAGCAACAAAAAATAATCATTTTAACTATAATAATAATAAATCGAGAGAAGTCATACTATTTCAAGCATCTGAAAAAATTTTGAGAAATATAACAATATTAAGATATCCAGCTGTAATCGCAGTAACGTTTTTATATAAATATTAAATTTGTTATGTGAGTACTTAAAAATAATTTTAAATTAAAAACGTAATGGCAAATAACTTAACCATTTGTCAGGTACTTAATATTATTATTTAGACGAATATGAAAAAAAATAGTGCCGTGAAATATTAATAGCCCATCAAAAAGTCACTGCTTGAATCTTGATAAAAAATTTACAACTTTGTGTTGAGTTTGCAGTAAAGATAATTGAGATTTCCATAAAATTTTGAACAGTTTACACGGCTTATAATACCATAGCTGGTCGTAAAATCTTTAAAAGAAACATAATATTTTACAATAAAATACTGGAATAAAGTAAGTAACGAATTAATATGTCGTTTTAATACTTACCTAGTCATACGACTCGAATTGAAACGTAGCAAAAATATAATTGTAGGTTTATAATAATTATTGTTGTATTTTTCATTCAACTGTAATATTATTGTCATTGTTGTGGGCATAATGTCATCAATATTGTAGTGTCATTGATATCTCACGACGATGTTTCCATAATATTATTATCATATTATACTACATGAGTCATTATTTCTTTGTGTGTTCGTGACTAATGAAAACACCGGTTTATTCAGACGTTTTTATGTCCATTGTACTTAATAAGACTCGGGTTACCCTTTCGCCTGTTGTAGTTCTTAATTTAAAGTAGACATAAAAAAGAGGGGTTTTATGCGTCGGAACGACGAAGTACGTATATGTATTATATTATTATGTTTAAAACCGTTATCAGACGGAAAACAGTTTTGAAATAAACGCGATATAATATACGTAAACGTGAAGCAGTGTTAATTTCCAAAGTTGATAATATTGTAAAGTGTAAAGTACTGTGTAGGTATTTGTAATTTATACGCCTATATACATTATAAATTATATGGGCTTAGGCCACTCTGTTCATTGATACACGTAATTTCGATTATATTAAACTATTCGAGTTCAGCAAAATAAAATAAATATAATCTGTTATTTATAATAAAGTAAGTATATATAGCATTAAAACCGTTGATTATATATACCTTTTGTGGATATAAACGGTTATCTTCACATCGAACTAATTAATTTGAACACTGCAGTCTGCCGTTCACGCATCACATTCACTGCGATTCAATGTAATATTATAATAATATGATCTTGATACTATTACGCTTAAGCTTCCGACGGTTTTTATTTGTATTTAATTATTCATATTTTGATTACTTTGAAACTAAGTCCTCTGTAGACTCTAGATTAATATTTAAGGCAATTTTGAAATTATTACTGTTCGTCAGAATAGGTACCTATACCGTCACTGCTGCAGCAGTTATGATATCATAATGTATATATACAATATACACCTATATAGTATACGTACAACGCATTTTAACCTATTATATTCACCGGAACCTCTCTCTATATGTATATAATCGTTTTGACTTCACAACCGCCGTCTTTGTCTCATTGAAATTCATCACACTTAACCCGATCACGCAACGGTCTAAATTACGGTTTCTAATCACGTCTCGTTAACGGATTACCCGTGTCTAATATCAGCAGCTCGCGCACAGGAGGCATATTATAGTGGAGATGTATCACGATGATGATGTATTTGCATAGTCGAATAGATTTGAATATGATTACCGTGATTTCAGCGGTAGACAAGACACTATATCCGTCAATCCTTCGTCTACCCTCGTCCGATATCCGCCCCGTGAGCATCTGGTTCCCTGTATAGCTCGACACACACACACATACGACATCACAGTGTATACACGTATACGCGAAAGCACGTAATCACTGCGGCGAATTTCCTATAATGATAAAATATAATAATGGCAGAAAAAAAAAATAGGCCACCGAGTGTGTCCCTCCTCGTTCGTGTTAAATGTGTTAGAAAATTCGTCGGCAATGGTGGGTATTTAATATCAGATTTATTAAGCCGCGGGTTCCTTACCACCCCGAAAAAACGCCTTCTGCGGGCCGCGATTACTTACGCTTGGTTAGACGATAAACTAAAAAATAATAATAATAATAATATTACAGGGGGAAGATCACCGCGCTGTGTACTGCAGCAGAGGGAGAATAAAAAAAAAAAATCCAACCTTGTACTGACACACACAGACCTTTTGTCATGACGTCTTCTCGTGTTATGTTTGTGAGTGTTTTTTTTCGGTTTCAGCTCCACGGATTCGTGATCGATTCGACTTCTGACACTCGTATCGGATTTAATACTCAACATGGAAGGGGAGGGGGAAACGATACTAGAAAAAATGATAACAAATTAATAACCAACAATATTAATTGTGAATAATATTTTAATAAATATTCATTTTAAAATGTTTAGGTACAAAAAAAATAATATTAACAAAAACAATATATGAATAATATTCTAAATTGTATAGTAAGTTATTATTTTAGAAACTATTTGAAACATTTATTTTAATACGCAATATACATAATATAGTCTGTGTAGTGTGTACTAACAAATGTGATGGGTGGTTTATTTATACTTTGAATTTAATATAATCATTATTATAAAATCAAAACGACAAAATAATTTTAAAATTCAAAATTAGATACATTTTGTCAAACTTCGAACTTTAAATGCTTATAAAAAAATGTTGACTTTATGTATTTTAAAAAACTGGTAAAGTAAAAATATAGCAGGAGCCTTGTATTAAATGTTGACGCATTTTGACCCAACAAATGACATTTTATTAACAGTTAAAAAAAAAATATAAAAATTTAAAATGTCCGTAAACAGTTCAAAACAGGTCAAAATATTTTGTAAATTTTATCAAGTAAGGGATTTGATAAGTTGATATATGGTGTAAAGTTCAAGTATCTACAGTTCTACGTGTTTGAATTACAATAAAATATGAAAATCGCTGCATGCCTATATGAGAAATACGTTCTCGATTGATGAGGTAATGAGGTAAATTTTTCAAGCTCCATTTTTATATATATAGAAGATATATAATGTTTTGGCTGAATAACCCATATCAGGTATATTTTGTTGTCAAGAATATTAAATTTGTCTGCATATTATATTAATTGTTTACTCGTACAGTCGACATATTATTTTGAATCAATCGTTTGTATATTGAGATTTTGGCACTTGATTGCGGTAATAGTAGGTACTTAGTTTGTTATTTGGTTCAACATATTTCAACCGAAGAATGCAGGAAGATGACGACATGCGTTTGACCGACCACGCAGACGCGACTAAAGAATTGAAGTCTCCTGCGGGACCGAGGAAAACTGAAGACGTACCCGAGTTCCTTTAGTGATGCCGGCACTATTTCCGCGACGGCTTGACGTAAGCGAACTCTTGACGCTGATGTTGGGCTGCGACAGGACATCGGCGTCGATTAACGAATCCGATTCTCCTTCGGGAACGGAAGATCTACCGGCCGAGTTCCGGAACGAGGAAATCCGTTGGCCAAAAGTGAGACGTGGTCTGCAGGTAACCGAGCAATGTAATATTGCAATGAAGTCGGCTAAACTCCGACTGTCAGACCTACTCAACGACACTTTGCGTCAGGCTGCTGGTCAACGTTCGCTGAATTTAGTGATGCCGGCCCTATTTCCGCGACGGATTGACGTAAGCGAACTCTTGACGCTGATGTCGGGAGGCGAAAGGACCGCGACAACACTTAGCGAATCGAATTCTCCCGCGGGAACGACGGGAACGGAGGACGTGCCTCAGTCCCGGCAATCGTGTGTCGAAACCGGCACAGCCGATCTCCAAAGGACGTCAACGGCCATTTGTACGGCGCCGACGGTCGAAAGTGTCCTGCCCGAATTGTCGCCGATTCGCGGACGTTTGCAGGAATACGTCCAGGAACAGCTGATAGAGTCGTCCTGTGTGGAGTTAGAGACTTTCGTGGTCGAGGCGATGTCAGCAGACCGTCCGCGACGTGTTCGTCGCTGCAGGTCACCGATATCGGCAGTTGGGAGGCGACTCTTAAAAGTCAGCAGGAGATTGTGTTGCTGGTGTGGGAGGAAATGAGCAGGCCGTGTAGATATAGGTGCACCTTGTTGTCGATGACCGATTCGACATAGTCCGAGCCACTTTTTTTATTTCGTACGGCCACTGATCGAGGGATTTACCCAGACGTGATGACCTGGAATGTTTTCAATATGACGTGCAGGATTAGTGCACAATTATTATTAATTAGTTCCGTGTGTAAAATTGTATTGTTATATTATATTGTTACATAAAATTACTTGTTTACAAAAATACTTTGTTGATATATCAATCGACCAGTACATAAAATAAAAGTTAAAACAATTCAAACGCTATAATATTCTATAATAATGTACTATTTAAAATTCAGATCTGTAGTTTTAGATTCTGAGGGGATCGATAAATGTATTGATTTTACAATGATGTGTGTTTTTGTTTGTGTCTGTCTTCAGTTCTTCACCATTTGAAATCACCAGTTTTTAAAATCTGATAAAAAAAATATATGATAATAGGCATCGATTAAGTTATGATAATCGATAAAATATAATATTATATATCTATATGGTAACTATAGATTATTACACTATCGTTTTTTTCCTGCAAATGGCGACCGACTTTAAAGTTAATATTATGTATATAAAACTTAGCCATAGATATATATATATATATATATATTATACATATAAAAGTAAAATAAATGGTACAATAATATCTACTCAAATATAAAAACCTGTTATATCTATTACCTTTTATAAGTACATTAATTTTTATCGTTATTCAAATAATTTATTTAACTATACATAATATTATGATTGTTTTGTGTGTTGACGGTGTCTAAAAAGTAATTAATTGGAAATTCATAGCCAGGTAAAACATTTTTAAAATGTCATTCTTACCACGGTACTAACCTATACGCTTGTCTATAAAAATATTAAATTTTCTCCATCCCAAAATACTTTATTACACGCTCAATATTTTCGTATCATAATATACTGCTGAATAAAATCATTTGATGCCCGCGTTATAATGCCAGTACTCAGTAGGTGGCACACAACCATATATTATATAGAATAGGTATAGCTGGTAATACGGTGTTTTAAACGCGTATACCTACACACACGCAACACACATATATAAATGCTGCTGGCGGACAAGTGAAATTCCATTTCGATATTTAATAATAATAATATAATCGTGCATTGTGATAAATCCATAATTTTGCTGTCCGATAATATAATAATGTCCCCGAACATTGTGTGTGTGTGTGTGTAGAAGGAATTTTTAAACGTTTGCACATTTTCGTTTTTAATAGATTTATTTCGAAATACCAGCACGGTGTACACGTGTTTTTAGGTTGTATGTGTGTGCTGTTGTTGTTACCGGTCACTGGCTACGTATATTATAATATATTATAATATTCTGTACACCGTAAGTAGAACTGTGCAGCAGGACAAGCTGATGGTATGGCGAACCGAGGAGAAGACCCGCAGTTAGGACATCGTCTTCGGCGGGTCGGAGGGTGTGGGGGGGGACAGTGGTCGGGACGTCTCGTGGCGCGATTCGCGAGAAACGTCCGTTGGAAATTCATTGACATTATTATTTTATTTTCCGTCTACGGAGTTTTTTCTTCTTTATCGCCACCAATGTGTGCTAGCGCGCGTGTGTGTGCGACCATAATAATGCCGTGAAATAAAAACCAGTTCATAAAAACGGTAGGAGTCATTCAATGGTTGGCACACACAGTGTTTTGTGTAAATAAATAATAAACCGTACATAAATAACGTCGACGGCGACGACGACGACGATTACTATAGTTATGATAATAATAATATGACGACGACGACGGTGGTTGTCCGGTCGTGGAGGAAGAGAAACACACGTCACGCGATGAGTTATGGGGGCTAAACGCGAAACCGTCGTCGTGGGGCCCCTCTCTCCCCCGTACACGCTTACATATAGTCATTATAATAATACACACACACACAATATAATATAATAATATCGTATTATATATACGTAATAATATAATAATGACACCTTAAGAATACGAAAATCGTATTGAAAGAGTGCGTTTACAATAATAATATAATATAATATTATGCTGCAGCAGGAAGCCACCCACAGTCACCCGAGCGCGTGTGTGCGCTCGTTCGTATTGTTGAATGGATCGGAGTTAAAAATGTTCAATTTTTTTTTTTTTTTCACTCGTCTTTAACGTTTATTATGTGCTCTCGAACATCTGTTTAACGAAATTGATACGTTCGGGGGATGGGTGACGGTGCGAGACGACTACGCGCGTATTACAATATATTATATTATTATTATATTATATTATATTATTACTATTATACGGCTCGGATATTTATTGCTTTTTGAATGGCACCACCAGCGAAACAAGAGGTGTGCGTATGTTGGAGACGACGAGCCCCCCCCGTTAGCGGACACCGTCCGGGTGATTCGTAGAAATGACCCGGCAAGTTCACGGATGGCATTCGCATATATACCTACTGTCGTTCTACCGCTCCGTCATCGTATTAGATATAATATAATATTATTCTGTGGCCAAGACATATTCACGTCGTATATGGATTGCCGAATACCGATCTCGAATACCAATAAGAGTAATATTTTTCGATTGTGTATCGTGGATGAAAAAAAAAAAATTGGAGTCTCGAGTGAATATAAAATATATTCTATCGTCTATGCTCTCTGATTTAGGTAGATAATATACATATATGTATCGCACATTATATAAGGACGAATTTATATGACGGTATATATACATTTTCGATATTCGTTTATAAGTTATAATGTATATAAGTAAAATAATAAAAAATAATAGGTAAATTGTTACAGAGTTTTTTCTCCTTAATCGTATCGTTGTTATCAAACCTAGTCGTAAACATTAAAACACAATATTATGATATTATACATTTATTGGTATTATATTACCAATAAATGTATATCAATAAAACGCATTTTAGCCATAGGTATCCAATACATCATTAATGATTTTAATCACAAAAAATAAAGAGACCTCGGGCCTATTATATTATACCAAGTCATCCTATAAGTACAATGTATATTGCGTATAAAAATCCATAATATATATTTTGTAATAGTAAATAGGTTGTATGACGAATTGACGTTATGTAACATAGGTATATAATATTATGGTATTGGGTATAACTTACTTATCGTTTTCATTCGTAACCTATAACCATCTGCAAGTTTCGAAATAAGTTAAGTGTTACTATTAGTTTTTATAATGCAATAAAAACCGAATAAATACATAGAAACAGTTTAATCATATTTATTTTAGATTTACTTGATCGTATCTAAAGCACCAAAAACATTTTATGTTTAAAATTATTTCTAAATTACATCGTTAGTTTATTTTTTATACTAATGACGTCTTAATACACACGTGTACTTTTTATATCATCAAATACAAAACTATTCCACAGTGTAAGCTATAGGTCATCTTAGATACCTACAATGTTTTTTTTTTGTGGTTACTGGTTTGACGCAACTACAATAATATATAACTACTTAGGTAGCGCGTTGTCTGAACCAGCAGGTGTTCTGAGACACGTCCAACTGTTGATTTTTCAATTCCAGCACATTAATTTATGTGTCAACCAGGAGCTGTAAATTAACATTGGAAGTAAATTTCGAAAAAGGTCCCCAAGACCCCAATTAGACGGTATGAAAGCAAATTGGATGATTTATATACACGGCCTTTTATTATTTTTAATATATTATTATACAGTGTTTGCTTTTCATTTCAATATAGGTATGTAATATATATCTGAAACAGATGTTTGCAAAAATACACATTGAACACATTGTTGATATGGTTGACATTAAATTTCTGTAATTTTTCTGGATATTATTTAAACAATGTTGACATGAAATAAATAACATATGTTATCCCCAAAGATTCAAAGTAGATGGTAATTTAACGACTCGTTAAATATATTATGAAATATTAGGTCTAGGTGCGACCATATTATATAGTATCAATTATCATGATTAATGTCAAACATAATATTATTATATTCTGATGGTGGATACCACACATTTTTAATTTATTTATATTTTAGTGCCTATATATTGATATTTATTATTTATTTTATAATGCATATAGTTATTTTTGATAATATAAATAAATGATAACTTTAAATTTTAAATTGATATTATGTTATTTTTCTGAAAACCCTTTCAGCATTTCAAAGTACGAAGCTCGTGTTGCCTATGTTGAGTCAATAAAATTATTTATGATATTATATTATGTTATATTGTGTTTGACATACATATTCGATTATTTGATGTGTATAAATATAAAAATAATATTCAGTTATACAACGTCGTATTTAAAATGAGCCATAAATGTATATTATTTTCATCACGAGTCATGATGTAACATATTTATTAGCTTATTAACCTACCTACGTTATTAAACACATATAGGGTAATTATTTTGAAATGTATTATTATGGTAATTGTTTATAATTAATAATGATATCAATCTTTAATATTCACTTTGGGTTTAGCAATCTCAAAGACACGTTTGACTGTATGTTTTAAATGTTGGAAGAAAATGCCCTATTATAATCATTCTTGTGACGTTATGACTATCTATATATAGTTAGCGTAGGTATGATGTTCGTGTCGTATACGGGAGGCGAAAGCATTATGACAAATCCAAAAGACTTTTGACAGCATTTACGGAAAAACCAACAGAATTAAGTATCTCGAAAGCCTTTGCGTCGTGTGTGTACTTTATTAATATTCATTGAGGTTACCCCCAATTATGTCAACAATCCCTTCCCCGAAGGGAAGTTTAAAAACGCCGAGGTACCGATGAAGACGTTTTCTTCGTATATGTTTACCTGTCAGTGCCGATAATAGAGTTTTCAGTTTGCACACAAGCATATACGCCCACTCGTCACTATAAATATTATTATTATTATATTATCATCATTAAGTAATAATAATATTCTTATTGTTGAACTGCAATTTAATTATTATAAGGTCCA